GGAAGAGAGAGCTTTACTGGATATCCAATGTCATCATTGTCAATGTCCATAAAGTTTTAGGAAGTTGATCTTAGCAAATAGATAAGATCATTAAGGGTTTTGTCATAGTCTGTTTCATAGGAGTCCCAAAGGAACTCACTTTGTGACTTAGAAAGTGATTGATCATCAGCTTCCTCTAGGCTTTGACACCCAACTCTCCCGGCTTTGTCAATATCTGACTACATCTCCAAGATGTGATCACATATAGACCTTTGCTTGAGTGACCTTAAACTTTTCAGGAACTTGTGGGTTAGGGAGAATAATTGGAGGAGGTGAAAGAAGTATGATTTCCATGGGACATCATCTTCATTTAGGAAAGCTTGTTTCAAGAGATTTGGGAAGATCATCTTTTGGGAGATATTCAAGAGAGTTGATTTAAAGTCCTTAATATAACACCCAATATGAAATATTAAGGCTAGGACCCAACAACCTATTTATAACTGGAAGAGGGATGCCGTAATCCAAGTTATAAAATAGTTGAAGGTAGGTAAATGACGATTTACCAATTTCCACCATGAAAAACGAAATATAATTAAGTTTTAATTGGATTTGAAACTCCTAGATCTTTTGAGATACATTGAACTTTCAATGGCATGTTTGAATCTCGATTGTGCCCTCTCAAGTTTGTGACTGGGATGCCGAGGATCACAAACAAGGTGTGAATAACCATGCAAATTGACTTGGTACCCTTAACTTTATCACCTAATCGATGTGCCGGTTAACCACACACGCTCCACCGATCTATAATAGAGTCAAGTTACCCTTTGCCACTCTTACTAGTCCTTATTAGTGTGCCGGTTAACCACACACGCTCCACTAATGACTTGGTAAGGTACAAAGTGTAATTTCATGGGTTAGCACCTTTTCACATTTTCCTAAGTAACTAAGATTGGGAATGTATAAGTGTTTAGTTACTTAGTATTTATCATTAATACTTTTAATGAAGGGAGAATTATAGTCCTTTCCTACCCGTTCGGCTAACGACCCTCCACCAGTCAAGAAAGCGGTGGGTGAGAGTGGACACCCATTAAACTGCCATTTTATAGGCAGCAACCTTATACCCCCTTATAGACCGGCTTCGTGAATGAGGCCTACTAACGGTAAGATTGACTTTATCTTATACATATCTATATAATTAAAATTATAATAATAGTATAAGGGTTTAAATTTTAACTTTTAAAATTCTAAGGGCTAACTTGGAATTAAAGTATTCATAAGTGAAACTTTTCAAATTCCAAAACTTGAGGGCAAGTTTTGAAACTATTCAAAACTAATTAATTCCATAACTTATGTGTTTAAATTAGTTTTAATTAAAAAACTCTTCAAATTCCATAACTTGAGGACAAGTTATGGAAGACTTTAAACTAATAAAAGAATGTAACTTTTCTTTATTTTGTAACTTATGGAATTAATTAAGGTTACACATTTTATTACTTAATGAAGTGACTCTTGAACCTCCATAACTTGAGTACAAGACTCTTCATTTTTGTAACCATTGCCAACTTTTATGAGTTTTATGAAACTTAAATGTGACTTTTCATATAACTTGAGGACAAGTTACAAAAACACATTTTAGAATCAAATCTTAGATTAAAATGGATTGAAAACACATAATCAATTAACTTTTCTATTAATCTAAGCAACTCATAAGAACAAGATAATTTAATCAAACTTTTTCATGTAATTAGCCTAATCACTAAACTAATACAAAACATGAATCTATTGACAATTATCTTTGAAATTGGATTAGTATGAACATTACCACATCAAAAACAGGATTATCGGTTCAAAAACAGCTTATGGTAATGTTCCTAGTCCATTTCTAGCCAAAAAAACTCGAAGATATGCTGTCATGGGCTCCTACTCGTCGAGTGTATCAACCTACTCGCCGAGTAGGATGATTTTCTTCATGCTCATGACTCGGCGAGTTCATCAGTGGACTCGGCGAGTCCAGTGCCCAGAATGCCCGAAATTCGACTTTTTCAGCATATTTCAGCAATTTGCATCAAGTATAATTGAAAACAAGCCTAGGCTCTGATACCACTGATGGGTTTTGAGCATTCTAACACTCATAAGTGTACATGCAACCCTAAATACCTTGGATCTATGTTTTCTCTATTATACATGCAAATATAATTATCCAATGTATTATCCTAACTAGCATACCAAAACATTGATACTAGGATAATAAAATAGATAGAATACATACCTTGTTGTTGTTGCTTGACTCCATGAAGCTTGAGAAGAAGACATACATGTTCAAATCGGCTAGCCCTCAAGATATGTATCACTAGTGCCAATTTCTTGAACTAAAGGGGTTCTTATATAGTGTGGCTATTAGGGTTACACCATGTAACTCATGAGTTTACCCATTCCTTATGCTCCATGGGTTTTAACCTCCATGGAGTATCCATGGATCACCACATGGGTTAAACCCAACATAAAGGAATCTTGGATCATAAGCCCACATATATAAGAATGAATGATTTACACAATCAATCCCCATATATTTAATTAGTCTCTTTTTGATCACTAAATTAAGTCCAAATTAATTCTTGATCAATACTAATTAAATAACATGATTTCATATTAATATATTAGAACTTATAATATATTAATATGTCACAAAATGTCTTTTCCTCATAAACGGTCTATCCAAATGTTCCGATGCCATGCAACCCAAATGGACCATGCCGAGTCGGGTCAAGTACATACCAATTATAGTTATGGACTTAGACACTAATCCAACAGATAGTTGACTTTGACTTTGGCCGAGGGTTGACTATTGGACTTCTGGGGTATTTTGGGAAAGTATGAGCATGGTGGGGACATTTAGTCAAGAAGGTCATGGTGGGTATTAACTTATTATTTATGGTGTGATAGTGTGGGATTCCGGGGAGATAGCAGTCAGGAATTGCAGTACTTCAGCTCCACTTGCAAGGTGAGTTCTCCTCACTATATCAATAGGGTCTACGGCACCAAGGCCGGCCCTTTATGGGATTTATATCCGGGTATTTGCATGATATGTTTACTGATCTGTTAGATCTGCGTCCTGTTAGTTAGGACGGTATTATGTTTAGTGACCTGGGTTAGGTCGGTATCCTGGTATATAGGATGATGCTATGTTAGTGACCCGGATTAGGTCAGTATCCTGGTATATAGGATATTGCTATGCTATATGATCTGTTAGATCGGTTTGTTTGTCTATAGACTGTTATGTGGTTATCTGTTATATGTGCACATGGTTGTTTTGATTGAGGTTTGCGTTGAGGCGGGTCCTGCTTTGTGCTGTAGGCCAACATACCCAGGGCGGACCGGATAGACTGCAGACCCGGGAGGGCACATAGTCACGCCGAAGGCCCGACGAGCGGTCCGGATAGGCTGAAGGCCCCGAGAGGGCGGTCCAGACGTGCTGAGGTTCGGAGAGTGGGCCAGATAGACTGAAGGTCCGGTGCAGGCGGTCCAGTCATACTGTAGACTCAGAGAGTGGACCAGGTGGACTGAAGGCCCGGTGCGGACGGACTAGTCATACTGTAGACTCGAGATGCATGGTTGTTCTGTATTGGTTATATGATATGTTATGTTTATATGAAGTTGGTATTTTGGGGGTAACTCACTAAGCCTTCGAGTTTACATTTATCGATTACTGTTTCAGGTATAGCGACTGACAGCGGGAAGGCGAAGGCGTGACCGTACACTTCCTCGATTTATGATTATGATTTCTGGGAACTCTGATATAAAACTATTTTGGAAACCTTTTTGTAATAACTATTGGTATTTGGAATAAATTTAAAAAGTTTAAATTTGGCATGAATTTTATGGGTGTTACACCTTCATTTTGGCTTTCACCACCATGCGAAATTCTCCTGTTCATTACAATTACAAGAATTTACTTAAAGAATTCATATTACTCTACTTTTCTTATCTCTATTGAGTTCCCATGATTTTACTCTTAAAATTATGCAATATTCTTACCTTCACTATTTGGTTGTGCATGATGCGTTTTTCTACATATATACCAGAACCATGTAGCACTCAAGCCTATAACAAAACTATAACATAAATGTAAAATATATTTTTTTTAAATCAATTTTGACTAAGTCCAAAATTTGCAAGGATTGAATTGACAAACTCAGTGACATAATGAACTAGAAAAGATCATGCACCAACTTGAAAAATATAGAAAATAAAACAATAATAATTTTTTTTTTTAAAGATACATACTGTCATAGACCATGACCATAAATCAGAAAGATGATATGAATCCAAAATCATTAAAGAAATCAGAAATCATTTGGTAATATAATGTATTTTGTAGCTTTTATTCTACTCATCCATAAATCTTGAAACACCATATAACTCATTTTCTTCAAAGGCATTTATTTATCCAGTCATCATTTATTTGTGTATTACAACATCTTAGTTTAATTTCATTATATTAAGACATTATACTTTAAGTTTTATTTATCTAGGCATTATACTTTGACAGATATATCCAATGATAGCATTGTACTTTTTAATTGTACAGTGATCTACTCCCACAATAGTTTTTGAAAAGCTTGATGAAATAGCAACATACCTTCATTTATTTGTGGATTATAGCATCTTACATTAATTTCTATTTATTATAGAATTGTACTTTTGTTTGTTTTTATGAAAGCAATGTACTTTGAAAAATCTAGCCAAAGTAGTATTATACATTCAACTTCTTTCTTTTCACATTGCTATAACTAGTAGATTTTTCAAATCATGATGCCATAACAGAAATCATCTTAAAATGTTGAACACAAAATGATGCCTCAACATTTGTTTAATATTTATTTGGTATACTTACTTTAGTTTATTTTCCATCTTATCACTATATTGCTTGAAATATGTCTCTATTTACCAATCAATTGATGAAAACAATGCTAATTTTGGTGAAATTTAATATATTTTTGTTAGGTGCTCAGAAGAAGGAAATGGGTTATACTCAAAAGACCGAGACATGGAACATGAGTAGCTCCCAAAAAACAGCAGTGACATTTAATAGGTTCGGAAAACCAGTAGGAGATGAAGGAAATGAAGTTGTACAATACCTTGGGACACTTGTGAGGATGACTAATCATGTTGGAATAGATAATGATGATTGGAGGAAGATCCCTATACAGATAAAAGAAGATATGTATTCTATGGTTAAGGTATGTATCTATTAACCAAAATTATAGTGTATTTATAATTACACATAAGCTTTATTTATAGGCAAAAAAATTTATTCATCCGGCTGAAACAAGTGAAATCAAGAAATGGATCCTTTTTAGCATGGGGAAAATGGAGGAATTGTCATAACCTTTTATGATTCAAGTCTTACAATCGATCATATTGTGGCAAAACAAACTGAGAAAGACAATAGAGTGAACCCAACTCAGTTTAAATAACTTGTTACTCATTGGTTTACTCCACAATATCAAGTATATAGTTAGTTTCTTACAACATTATACTTTAAGAAACATAAGTGTTTCAAAGTATAAAATTCAAATAAGGAAAAAATAGAAAGTACGATGCTATTGTAAGTAAAAGATAAAATAAATTTAGGGAAAATGATACAAAATCATTAGCCACTCCTAATTTTTTGATTTTTTTTCAAAGTCTGCTTTTGTGATTTTTTTAAGAATATGATTTTTTGACTACCACACCAAAATATTTTAACTATTTTCGATTGTTGCATATTGTTATTATCAATAAATAAATTCAAGTAAATTACTATTATATGTAAAAAAATGAAATTTGTAGATATTATGATTGATTATGTACAAAATAATTATGTAGAACATGTTTGATTTGAGGAGAGAGAGTCGCGCAAAGATGAAAGAGCCCAATGTTTCCAGGACAAAATTATTTGCTCGACTTGTTCACGAAGAGGTATTATTATATTATATTATATTATTTTGATTATATTATTTTTATTATCTTATTATTTTGATATTATTATTGTCATATATGAATTGAAAAATAGTGTATACCTATCATGAGGAAAAATATATGTAAACAACCCGCACTAGTAAAAATGGAAATATCATGAATGAAAAATCCGCTCAAGTTATGGTAATGATAACCTAGACATTCTATATACACGATTTTAATGATTTCAAATCATTTAATCTTTGCTTCACTTTAAACCATGTTATGTGTCCCACTTTTAAAGTATTAGAAACATACTTTGAAAGTACATTACTATACTTTCATAGTATACTAACCAACTTTCAAAGTATGTTGCTATTAATTTGAAAGTGGGACAAAACAGTGGATGAGAAACACTTGTCATGTTTTTTGTATGTTGCTATTATGCAGGCTTCCCTAGAAGCCATTGAAAGAGACTCCTCAAGTACCCTAGGATCTGTAGATGATTTTTCAAATGATGACTACTCTAAAGTTAAAGGTCTAGAAAAAAAAGGGTATATTAGATGTGTTGGAAGGATGTCGAACGTAAAAAAGAAGGTTGTTTCTTGTTCTACTGGTCCAAGTGTTGAACAACTAAAAACCATGGTGAAGGTTATGGTTAATATCATCCAAGAACATATCCCAAATGCAAACTTGTCTAGAATTCTTAGCAATATGAACATACAGGTACATATATCATCTATAATTGCATTTTTCCTTTTCAATTACCCTATGAGCAAAAAAAACATTCATGCAAATTAGTCCATTGCCACTTTCCCCATTCTGAATAATCTTCTTGGTGCACATATGTATCTTCTTAAACGTATTTTTTTGGTTCATTCGTACAAGAGTAGTAGAAGGTATTGAGATTTAAAGACTAATGGTATATGTTTTCATTAATTTGTTTCAGATGCCATGTATCACTTCTACAATTCAACGCAACTCTAATTCAGTCAACCGAAGATCATCTCTGAAAGTCATCATAATGATGGTAATCATTTCATGAGTTACCGTATTTCATTTGTTCTTAAAGATAGTTTATTATGTTAAGTGTTGTATTATATATATTCTAAACTATGCCTTATTTCACTGGATATCGAATTGTCTTTGTTTGTTTTGGATAGGGAATAACTAGCATTGACACTAGAGTACGATATGACACGATTTATTCAACCTATCATATCTTTGTTTTTGATTTTATTATATTTTTATATACATATATTCTTTTTAACTTTTGTTCATTACTTTACGTTTAGCATGTACTTAAACGTATTTGACATTTACTTATATATTTGATTCAAAAGGTTTAAAAATATTGATGCAAAACAATGGAATTTATGTTATCTTCAATGTGCTATACTTTAATTATTTATTTTATTTTATATTATAGATGAAATTGTATTGTGGCAAATAAAAAAGTGCCAACAAAATATTAAAATATGTAACTAAAAGTAACATGAATTTTGGAATCGCATGAGCTTTTAATGGCACAAAATATATGTTACAAAAAACTTTTCTTCTACCATGACACATAAATAAGTGCCACAATTTCTTTTTATTGTGGCAAATAAAAAAGTGCAACTAAATATTAAAATGTGTAACTAAAAGTAGCATAAATTCTTGAATTAAATTAGCATTCAATGGCACAAAATATGTTCCACAAAAAAAAATCTTCTATTGTGACAAAAAAATGCCACTAAAAACCTAAAAACTGCAGCAGCAGTCACTAAAAGGTTTTAGTGGGAGCATTTATAGTGGCATTTATTACATGTGCCGCTGATTCTCTAAGAAGCCTATAGTGGCATTTTTTTGGGCTTTTAGTGACACTTTTGTGTGCCAATAAATGACATATTTTTTCTAATGAGGATAAAGGAACGGGCGACACTATATAATCATTTATGATTATAACAGACCTACCGTGCTGGTACGACGGAGGGTAAGAACATGGCCAACACGGAAAATATTTTTTTTTGAATTCATGGACCTTATGAATCGGGTGTATAAACCTTACTTTGATAAATTTGTCATTGTCTTCATAGACGACATATTGATATATTCACTAACCAATGAAGAACTTGGCCAACACTTACGTTTACTTCTAGAATTGTTAAGAAAGGAGAAGCTTTATGCAAAATTTTCTAAATGTGAGTTATGGATTAACGAAGTGCATTTTCCCAGCCATGTGGTCAGTAGTAATGAGATTCATGTCGATCCCGTGTAGATTGAAGCGGTTAAGAAATGGAAAGAACCAACGACACCAATCGAAGTACGTTAATTCTTAGGATTTGCAGGCTACTATCGTAGATTCATCGAGACATTTTAGCAAATAGCCAAACCTCTCACAACGCTAACCCAGAATGACAAAAAGTTTGATTTGGGAGACGATCAAGAGTCTGGCTTCAGAAAATTGAAGCAATTTTAGTGCAGTGCACCGATTTTGTCTCTTCTTGAGGGAACAAAAGACTTCGTAGTATACTGAGGTTCCTCACACCAAGGTTTAGGATGCGTGCTAATGCAGAAAAATAAAATTATTGCATATGCATCTCAACAACTAAAACCGAATGAGACAAACTACACTACTCATGACTTAGAGTCGGGAGAGGTAGTTTTCGCTTTGAAAATTTGGAGCACTACCTGTATGGAACAAAGTGTGTGATATTCAACGATAAGAAAAACCTCCAGCACATCTTTGATCAGAAAGAGATCAATATGAGACAACGAAGATGGCTCAAATTGTTAAATGATTACAAACGTGAAATTCATTATCATCCCGGTAAAGCAAACGTCGTGGCAGATGCTTTAAGCAGGAAAGAGCGAGTAAAGCCTCTTCGTGTGAAGGCTTAACCCTAACCATTCACTTAAATCTCACCACCCAAATTCGTGATACTCAGCTAGAAGCACTTAAACCTAAGAAAATCGTAGAAGAAAAACTTCAACGTATGGACAAATAGTTCGACCTCAAGGAAGAATGAACACAATATTTCATGAACCGAATTTGGACCCTAAAGTTTGGTGAAGTCAGGATTTTATTTTTAAACGAATTTCATAAATCAAGATACTCAATACATCCTGGATCAGAAAAGATGTATCTCGATCTCAAAAATATTTATTGGTGGCTCAATATGAAGGCAGAAATTGCCACCTATGTCGATAAATGTTTAACATGTTCCAAGGTAAAGGAAGAGTACCATAAGCCATTTGGTCTACTACAACAACCGTCGATTCCAGAATGGAAGTGGGAAAAGATAACAATAGACTTCATAACAAAGCTGCCAAAAACATCAAGCGATTATGACACCATCTGGGTAGTGGTTGGCCATTTGACCATGTTCGCCCACTTCTTAGCCATCACAGAAACTGAAAAGATGGAAAAGCGCTAGGACCTAGATCAAAGAGATACTCAGACTACACGATGTTCCAATATTTATCATCTCAGACCGAGATAGTAGATTCACTTCCAGATTTTGGAAATCACTGAAAAGGTCCCTAGGAGCCAAACTCGATATGAGTATAGCATAGAAACCTAAAACGGATGGCCAAAGCGAAAGAACAATACAAACTCTAGAAGATATGCTCTGTGCTTGTGTGATAGACTTCGGTAATGTGTGGGATACTTATTTTCCATTGGTTGGATTTTCGTACAACAATGACTATCACACTAGCATCAAGGCCACTCCATTCGAGGCCTTGTACAAGCGCAAATGTTGTTCTCCGTTATGTTGGGCACAAGTTGGGGATATCCAACTAGCTAGAAAACATGTTGGGGATACAGTATTTACGTGTCCATAAATCATTCAAGAAACAACGGGAAAGATTGTTTAGATAAATGAACAGTGAAAAATCGCCCATAGTCAATAGAAGAGTTATGCTGACAACATACGTAAACCATTGGAATTAAAAGTAGGAGACCGTGTCCTGCTAAAGGTTGCTCCATGGAAGGGCATCGTCAGATTTGGAAAACGAGGAAAGCTGAAATCTCGTTCCATCGTAACTTTCCAAATCCTGACAAGGGTTGGTCCGGTAGCTTACAAGCATAAATTATCTCAAGAACACAACAAAGTTCATGATACCTTCCATGTGAGTAATCACAAGAAATGCCTATCTGATGAGAACCTCGTCATTCCACTCGATGACATCCAGGTCAACACTAAGCTTCATTTCGTGGAGGAACCAGTGGAGATCATGGATCGAGAGATGAAAAGACTCAAGAAAAGTATCATACGGATAGTAAAAGTCTGATGGAACTCTTGTAGGGGCCAGAGCTTATTTGGTTGCGTGAGGTCCAAATGAAACAGAAGTATCCACATTTGGCCAGAGTTTATTTGGTTGCGTGAGGTCCAACTGAAACAGAAGTATCCACACTTGTTCAATGATGCTCCCTCTACTTGTGAAATGACATAAAGGTAGCACAATGTATCCTAGAACTTAATAATTTCAGGACAAAATTCCCTTAACGGGGAGGTAATGTGACAACCCAAAAATTTAGGTCATAAACTACGAACGACTAAATTACAGTAAATCTTTTTGTAATTTAACTCATTTACTTTTACTTAATATAATGAAAAATAAATGATTTCTTTTCAAATATTATAAGATATGAAACGATACATTACTTCCAAATGTGTAAACTATCAAACGAATCAAACAACTTAAAGCCTTAAACTGCAACATTGGTTAATGCGTCTGAAAAACTGAATTTTCGTATTAAGAAGTTTTGATCGAAGGAAAATATAAAAACCTTATAGTACATGTTCCCCTATTTCCGAAAATATAAAGAACGTCCGAAACGGAGTTCGTATGCAAAAGACACGACAGTTTTAAGAAAACAGACAGTAAAACAATGGTTTTCTTTAATCGCGTAAAACCGAATTGATCCGTTGAAACACTTACACACATCCGATGGAAATTCTGAAAGTGTTTTTGGACTCTGGATATAGCCTAATACATAATTTCATATTCGAAATATTTTTAGCAAAAATATTTGCAAAAATCAAAAAACCGAGCGTTACAGGCTATTTAGACGTGAAACTTTAAACAGGATTTCCCAGAGTTTCGTAACTCGAAAATTTAATCCGTTTGAGTTTTGGGATGAAATAAACACTATCTAACGGCACGTTTGGAAAAAAATTTCGACATCATGTGGGACCCACATACCTTGCCCAAAAGTGTAAGGCCAACTCTTTGTCTATATTGCTTCCTCCCTTGATCAAAACTCACGTGACTACTCTACTCACTTCACCCTTTGCCCAATATTCCACCACAAAGGACTAGGAATGACTAGTTTAGTGTTTAGCACTTGATTGAAGTATTGAAGTTACTTAGGGGTTTTTATGATAGTTGTTGACTAAGTCAGATCTAACCCAATCATAACCTGACTGGGTCTAAAGCTCTAATTGCATCTGCTTCTGACTGAAAATATGTTTTTTGATTATGCATATGACTGAATATGTTGTGTAACATCCGGTATTTTCCAGGTATTACGATTAATTTTCTTAATGAAACTATGGGATTGTTTGGTTAGGCTTTGACCTTTGGGCCTTACAAGAGAGCTGAGGAAACTGCGTACTCGGAGCATACATTGCCATGTACACCCAGCGTACTCGTGAGAATGAACCGTAGAGGCCATGAACGTACGCCCAGCGTACCAGTAGTACGCCCAGCATACGTGTGCAACTCTTTAAACCCTAAAACTTAGGGTTTACTCGCTATATAAAGAACATTACCCCTGTTTGTTCATCCTCTCTTCACCCATAGCCAGCCACCACGAAAACCCTAGCTCATATTTGTGTGCCTTTGAGATTTGGAAGCCATTTGAGAGTGTTTGTGTGTTATGTTAGTGAGAAGGGAATAAAGGAACTTGAAAAAGAAGTAAGGATCCACCAAGAGCTTGTAAATCCAGGAGATTGGCATCACTTCTGACCCTTTTGAGGTATCAAGTTCCTTACTTGGCCATTGTATGCATAGATTTGTTCATTTGGGTATATTATGTCACCTTTAGACCCCATT